CTGACCTCACCCCACCCCCCCGCCCCCAGTTCGCCCGCCCCGGGAGGTGTGGGACACCCTCCCCGGGAGGACACCGTCTCCGAGCCCACATCCGTCTGAGGCTCTGCCCATCCCGCTTCCAGGGCTTCTCTGCACCCCAGTCCCGCTGGGTCTTTCCTCACTGCCTGCTCTCACCATCCCCCAGCCCCCATCACTGCCCTGGGTCCCCGCTCCTCTCCGGGAAGCTCCTGGTCCGGAGTCTACACCCCCATTCCAGAACACACCCTGCTTTACGAGGCTCCCACCCTACATCCCTTGCTGGCAGTCACCTGACAAGGTAGTTACGAAGAGTGTCGGGCGACAGGAAGATACTTGTGAAATAACGTCAAGCAGAAAATAAAACATGAAGCTGCCTGATAAAAGGACAGAGGATTTCCTTTGGAGTGATGAAAATATTCTACGTGCGGGGATGGTTGCACAACTCTTTGAACAGAGGGAACAACTATGGCCGTGCCGTCTTTAAAGTGATGACTGATAGCACGGAAACCCTCTCTCAGCGCAGCCGGTGACCACAGCCCTGCAAGCCCCTATCAGCATGACCGCTACCACCTGCCGAGTTGGACCGGAGGAATCCGTCTGGGTCGCACTCACAGAAGAGGTCCCGGCTGGGCGAGCTTGTGACTGGGGTTTTCTCTCTAGTTCCCATGTGGTTTTGTTACTTCTGTCAAGATAGCTTGGCTTTGTACTAAAACACTGGAGGCCCCACAAGCTCCACGTCGGCCCAAGTTCAGACGTGCTCCCTCCCCCGCCCACGTCCGCCGCACTTAACTCAAACGCTGTTACCACACGGAACAACGGCTGAAGCAGAACCAGAACCGCCGGGAGGTCAGCGCTTCCTGCGGGGAGGAGGCGGGGAGTTGGGGGGGCGGCTTTCCGGGCAGCACTGAGCAGTGGGGAGGCAGCCGGGTGGGGGGCCCGTGCCTGGCGGGGGAGGGCATAGACCGGAGGCCCGCCTCGCTGGGGAGCATGCTGGGGCTCCACTGGAGGTGCTGGACGCCAGCCCCGGGAAGCCTCTGAGGCGGGCGCTGACCATCAGAGCGTTAAGTGGCCAAGATAGCTGCAGCGCTGGCACAGGAGGGAGCCGGAAGCCAGCTGGTCGCTGTGCTCCGCAGAGCGTGTCGTTTGCTGTGCCTGGAATCCCTGGGTCCCCTTTCCAAGGCAGACTTCCTTTAAGAAACCTTCCTTGAATCACTTAAGCAGGAACCCTAACCCCACAGCCTTCGAAGCAGCCTGCCGAATTTCATGTGACAGGGGTCCACGCTGGACCCCCAGCAAAGCCTCTTCCTCTGTCCTCTTCCACCACAGTCCCCAGCTCACACATGCCCTTCCACTCACCCCGCTGCCTACCCCTCTCCATCAAGTTTACCGGAAATGAATTCAGTGATCCTGATGCTGTCTATCTCAGAACTCACGTTGGGATTTGAACTGGACCCACGGGGGTAGCAGTAACAGCAACAGGCAGTTATTGTTGAGAAAACAAAGGAGAAAGGGAGGAGTCTGAGGGAGGTCTTGAGGTTTAGTCTTGAAAGTAACTGGGGGTTCAGTGCACAGAGCCCAGGTCTCAGCAGCAGGGGCCCCAGGTTTGATGCCCAGTTCTGAGACTGACCCTGGACAAGTTAACTGGTATCTCTAAGACATGGTTTCTTGTGCATAAGATGAAATAGCAACACCTACCTCATAACCGTTGGGTTGAAAGGGGGCAGGAGGATCCATCTGCCATGTGGTCACCTGTAGTAGGATCTAGGCTCCTTTGCAAACTCTTGCTGTTATGGGAACATGTGGATAAATTAAGGCCAGAACCATAAAACCAGAGTGGGTCTTAACTGGTGATGGTGGAAGGTGTATTCTAGAACCAGTTGACCTTGGGGACCTCTTCCAGAAGGCTGGCCCCCAGCCTCCCACTTCCCTCCCCGTGTCCCGCCTCAGCCGTAAGAGCAGAATCCAGGTGGCATTAAGATGACCCTAGAGTAGGTACAGCACTCCGAGATGTCATCAGAGATGTTAACTCTCTTTATATAAATGTAATAATAGTACATAGGTATCATAATGATAGTCACAATTCTGAGAAGTGGAAGGTCTTAACCCAAGTGACACTGACCCCTGAATTCCAGAGTGTTTAGAAATCTGTGCATGTTTTTGGTTCCCTCTTTTGTGTAACCACAGCTGGCACTTTGGAGCAGAGGCTAGGAAGGTTAAATACCCTTTGCAATGGAGAACTGTCCCAGCAAAATGCTGATATCAATGTCACCCTCATTGAGAAATTCTGACTCAAAACTGAATATTGGCTTAATGAAAAACTGTGATAAAGTTTTATAGAGGAATTAGCCATTGGAGGTGGAGAAATGTGTGTATACAGAAAGGAGGTAGGAGAAACAGTGCAGCTGCCCAAGTACAGTACCCCTGAGGCTAAAAAGAGGGTGCCCGAAAACTTACAAACATCAGAAAATGAGATGTCCATAAGGAACTTTGAAAAGCTCTGACTCATTCCTTAAAATATAGAAAGCTACATAGGTGTGCCTATGCCCAAAGGAGACCTGAAAAAAGAATCTCTCACTTCTGGCTGACTTTGAGGAAGCAGGAAATGAAGGCCAAGGCAGAGTTGTAAACTGTCTACCAGAGCATTGAAAGCCAGCCCGACACACACAGGAGTCCTGCAGAAGCAAGGGGACCTATAGGGTCAAAGCACTTGAAGAAATCTCTGTCCAATCATGAGTTGACCACAGTAGAGACTTCAGTTGCCACACATGACAAAGAATATGGACATCACATCCTAGTCCAGGATGTGAAAATCAACATACAGAAGGTGATGGAGGAAAGATGGAGGAGGGGCTTGTGTTCTTGATCACATCTTTGAACAGCACAACCAACCCCAGCAACAGCTCCCTCTGGATTTCTTGTCCAATAACCGCACAAATGTTTCCACTGGGCATTGGGCATGTTTTCTGGAACTCTTGGTAAAGCATGCCACAGAATTCAGAGCTACACAGTTATTGGTTCAGGGGGATCTTAGTTCTTGGCTCATCCGTTGAGACAGAACCTGATGGGACAGGACGACAGCTGGACCCCATAGCCTAGTCTCCAGGGCAGGGCCAGCTCTCCCTGCAGAACTGCGAACACTGCTTCACGTCTCTGAACCTGTTTCCTCAATGATGAAATTGTGAAATGAGAAAGCTGAATTCAGTAACCTCTAACTTCCTGTCAATCTAACCTCTAACTTCCTCTCTAACCTCCTGTCAATCAGAGTCCAGGACAGAAGTCCTAACTCTGCACTGGCCACAGAGGCAGTGGGCAGCTAGCCCCTGCTCCAGACTCAGCTCGGCTCTGGCTCCGTTCCTCCTGGTGTCAGAGGTGACAGCTTGGATTATAGGGAAATATGAAAAAGCTATGAAAGGAGAATCGCCACCCCCTTTCAAATAAAGGTTGTCCAGGGTGGAAAAGTAAAACTGGCCCTCCAGCAGCTCAGGATGGAATCTGGTGACCACAGCCAGGTCTGTTACCTGTTGTTGATGTGTTGTTTTCACCCATGGCAAAAATGACAGGGGCTCATATTACAAATTTAAACTCACAGACGTGATTAAGATGGGAAAAGTGCTCTTGCCAAACTCCCTAATCCTACACCCCCCCATTGGGGTGCACAGTTTTGAGTACTGTTCCAGACATGTTTTTGTGCTTATACAAACATGGAGCCATATATTATAGAATCAAAGATGTCAGTGATGACATATCCTGTGAAAAAGGCATGCAACTTGGCATTAGTGAACTGGGGCATATGTGTGTGTGTGTGTGCATATACACATATTTTTGTTTTAAATAAAAGTAAGACTTACCCCAGGCTTCCCTGGTGGTTCAGTGGTAAAGAATCTGCCTGCCAATTCAGGAGATGCGGGTTCAATCCCTGGGTCAGGAAAATCTCCTGAAGTAGGAAATGGCAACCCATTCCAGTATTCTTGCCTGGGAAATTCCATGGACAGAGGAGCCTGGCAGGCTACAGTCTATGGTGTCACAAAAGAGTTGGGGACACGACTTAGTAACTAATCAACAGACTTACCTGACCCACCCAGATGGTCAAGAAACCTGTTTCTAACAACTATCTCATGGACCTCTCTTGAAGAGCACGTTCATCTATCTTTCTCGAAGCTGCCCAGTATTCCATACTAGTGGACACACACAGTTTAGTTTTTATCACTCTTCTATTAATGGAAATTCCTACTTTATTCCCATTATTTTTGCTATTACTCTTGCTGCTAGCTCTTCCTGAATATCCATGAGTACTTTCTGGGCTAAATTTCCAGAAGTGGGAACACTGTATTAAATTACATATTTAACATTTAATGTTAACATTTAACACACTAACATCACCAAATCACTTTCCAGAAAGATACTGTTTATCCATCCTTCAGCAACAGTACATGAGAACATCCACTTTTGCATAATTGTGCCAAACCTGAATGTTATCAACATTTTTTGCTTTTCCCTATTGGGTAAGTAAATGTTGATATCACCATTGCTTTATTTCACATGACTTTCTGCTGAAAGCAAGCTTCCCTTCATTCTCACTAATATTTTGCATTGTTTCCTAAGTGTTGGCTATGAATCCTTCCTTTGTTGGGATTGTTTGTTTTCTCTATTTTTAGGAGCTCTTTGTGTTACAGTTATTACAGAATGTTGGGTATTGCTGGTGATGTACTGAGGATATTTTTCTCAGCCTGTTTTCCCCCCTGGTCTGTCTTTATTTTTATTTTTTTTTCCATTTATTTTTATTAGTTGGAGGCTAATTACTTTACATCATTGCAGTGGTTTTTGTCATACTCTGGTCTGTCTTTAATCTCTTAATTTTGTTTACAGTGTCTTCTGTTGAACAGAAGCTTTTCATATTATGTGGTGAAGCAGGCCAGTCTCTGAACTGAATGTTGTTTCTCCCTAGGGGAGGAAGGATCCAACCTGCCCCCCGTCCCAACACAATGGCCGGGCGCCCACCACAGGGTATCCTCTTCCCTGAGCTCAGGGTGTGGGCAGCCACCCTGAGCCGCAGCACCTCTGGACTCCACTCTGATGCAGGAATCACCGCTCTCTCCCCAGCTGATGCCATACTTCCGAAAAGCGCTGACTTGACGGTGTCTTGGTATAGATCTTCCTTTGTTGTTCAGAATTTTCTTGGTCTCCTTGGCTCAGTGGGTCAGACTGGGGTTCCCATCAAGCACTGCAGGGCCCTGGCTGAGTGGCACAGACGCTCAGGTGAGCATATGGAGCTCAGCAGACCCTATTTTCTCTGAAGGGAAGAGTCAGGCCATTTTATTTTATTTATTTATTTATTTATTTATTTATTTATTTATTTTTATCACAACCATAGTGTATCTTTTTTTTTTTTAACATGTATTCCCCATCCCGGTCCCCCCTCCCACCTCCCTCTCCACCCAATCCCTCTGGGTCTTCCCAGTGCACCAGGCCTGAGCACTTGTCTCATGCACCCAACCTGGGCTGGTGAACTGTTTCACCCTAGATAATATACGTGTTTCAATGCTGTTCTCTTGAAACATCCCACCTTCGCCTTCTCCCAGAGTCCACAAGTCTGTTCTATACATCGGAGTCTCTTTTTCTGTTTTGCACATAGGGTTATCGTTACCATCTTTCTAAATTCCATATATATGTGTTAGTATACTGTAATGGTCTTTATCTTTCTGGCTTACTTCACTCTGTATAATGGGCTCCAGTTTCATCCATCTCATTAGAACTGATTCAAATGAATTCTTTTTAATGGCTGAGTAATATTCCATGGTGTATATGTACCACAGCTTCCTCATCCATTCGTCTGCTGATGGGCATCTAGGTTGCTTCCATGTCCTGGCTATTATAAACAGTGCGAGTCAGGCCATTTTAACAATAGCTCTGAGGTCCAGCACGGAGGCTGGAGTCAGGGAGAGCCCACAGGCTGGGCCTGCTGGTGTGACATCTGCTTGCTGCTTAGAGGTGGCCCTGCCCGCTGCAGCTACCACCCTGGTGACCCAGGTGTCTCCAGGGAGCCCCCGGGTGCTCAGCACCTGAGTCACTGCCCATCCCATTCCTCCTCCCTCTGGGCGCCGCGATCCGGAGCCAGATTCTGGCCCGACGTACAGCCCAGAGATCACAGGGCAGCCTCGGTTCCCCCACGTCGACTTCCTTCTTGAGCCATTCTAACCACAGCTAAGCGCACGCACTTCTGTGGCATTAAGTGCATCCACATCGTGGTGCAGCTATCACCACCATCCACCTCAAGTGGCTTCATCCTGCAAACCTGAAACTTGAAACCTGTTAAATAATGGCCCCTCCCCCTCCACCAACCCTGGGAACCACCGCCCCACTCTGCATGGACCTGACGACTCCAGGGACCTTGTGGAAGCAGAATCATACAGTACTTGTCCTTTTGTGACAGGTCAGTTCATGCAGCACGGTGTCCACCCGGCTCATCCATATTGTTCATGTATCAAGGTTTCCTCCCTCTTTAAGGCTGGATGCTCCTCACTGTGTGGAAAGACCTCCTGTGGTACTGGTGCTGCTGGACCAGGGGTGGGAGCACAACACAGCGGCTGCTGAGACAGGATGGAAGGAGGTGCGGAAATGATTCTTGGCCTCCTGCACAGGAAAAGGGCAGAGATCCACATGTCCGCGTGTATCTTCCTTGGGGTGCAGGGCAGGCCAGGGTCATCTTGGGATCCGCCCCAGGCCCCTGGGCCCTCCTGGGGCCCACCCCTCTGACTCCTCCAGGAGGTGCTCCTGACTCTCAGGGTCTGGCTGGAGTCCACCTCGTGTTCCCACAGTTGTCCCCCATTGGCTGAATATCCCCTCATCTGACCCCAGAGTCCACCTCCTCCTGACCCCACATCTCTACCAGGTCTTGAACTTGTGGCGTCACCAGAAAACACTGCAAATCCTCGCCTCTTCTCTGAACGTCCATTGCCCTCCTGCTGGCAGGGCCCCAGCTGTGTCCCCCGAGCTTCCTGAGGTTGCTTCCCCCAGACTCCCTGCAGAGGGGGCACATGTGGGGCTCAGGTCCAAGCTCCCCTCCTCCACAGCCGGGAGCCATTTCTCTCCGTGGTCACCTGCTCACCTCCCCCTCCCTGGTGCTCAGCCCATTTCCAGGAAGCTTGTTAGTCCGTGTCCCCACCGCCCCATCCCTGCCTTTTTCCCCCAGTGTCACCATTCCTGGCGGCTCCAACACTGCCTTTTTGTGAACCCCTCTGCCTGTCTCCCTGGCCCACATCCTGGCCCACACTCGCCCCTCCAGCCTCCTGAACCACCCTGGCCCTGTGGGCCTGCCTCGAAGTCACACACCAGCACCTGAATTGGCTTCAGGACATCACCTTCAGCCGTGCACAGCCGCCTCCCAGTCCATTTCCTGTGCAAGACCCCCGCCCACACCTGACACTCAGCCCCTGGGCCCTCATCCAGCTGCACCAGCTGTGAAACAAACATGTGTCCACCCAGGTTGGCAAATAGCCACTGCTCTGCCTCCGCACACAAGCATTTGGAGCTTGTGCGGGATTTCACAGCCCACCCCCCACCCCAGCTCTGTGCACGGCCTTATGGACACCCAAGCCCTGCTGCCTGACAGCCTGCTCCCCTCGCTGCCCCCTGCTCCAGACTGATCCCACAAGCAGGAAAATGGGCTACATCCTTCTACCCTTCAGGGAGAAAACAGGATGACAGTGACATCCTTCCCTATTTCACATCACTTCCTGCAGCCTGCCCTGTGTCCCCTTCACAGCAGAGGTCTCGGCCTCCACTTCCTCCTATGTCCTGATTCCCACCTCCAGCCCATGGTCCTGCAGGCCCTGTCAACCCACACCACCTATGTTCGTCTCACCACAGCCAGGGTCTGTTCTCAGTGCTCACTCATCTTACTCAACCTCTCGGCAGTGTTTGTCCATCACTTTCTCCTTCCCCAAATGCTGGCTTCCGAGATGCCCTCGGCCTCCCCAGTGGCTACGTGTTAGAGGACCAGGAACCATCCTCCTGCAGGTGTCTTTGTCTTCTTTTCTCTTGGGCTCAGGACGACTTTTTCTTGTCCACTCAACTTCTCTTCTTGGATGTTGAAAAGGCACCTGAGCCTGACTCTGACCCCGCCTCCCTGGGCTCCCCCCCACCCCCCCGCCAGCCTCCTCCAGCTCAGCCAGTGGCACCAGGGTTAGCAGATGCCCAGCTCACATGCCTGCCCGCTGTCATCCAAGATCTCTCTCCCACAGCAGGCTGGAGCACCTGTCAGCTCTGCTGGAAACCTCCTCCTCCTCCTCCCATCCATCTTCCCTGCTGTCATCCTGTCTGAGCTCCTACGTACTCACCTGACCTCTTCACCAGGCTTTATCATTTTATCTCTACTACACTCTTGTCCCACCACAGTCACATCTCTGCTGGACTTCCAAAGAGAATGTTTACGAGAGTAAGTCAGACCATCTTCCCAACCCTCCAGTTACCTCTGATCAGGCTGGGAGGTTCTCCCCTCCCTCCCTCTTCTAGACAGTTGCTTCCATGTTCTGCTGCTCACATTGGCCCCCTGGTATGCCCCCAACACAAACACACAGACACAGATACACACACATCTGCCCCCACCCACACACAACCAGCATGTTCTTGCCACAGGGCCTTTGCACAGGCTGCTCCCAGTCTGTCCACACCCTCTCCCCGTTTTTATCAGGCTCCCTTTCATATCTTCCAGGTTTTGGTTCAAAGTCTGTCACCTCCTCACAGAGCCTTTCTCCGACCATCCTTCCTAGAGCAGTACCTGCTCTCACCAGCCTACTTGACTCTCTCCCCACTCTACTTTTCTTCCTAGTGCATCAGAATGTGAGCTCCAGAGAGTCTGGGCTGAGTCTGTGTCATTCACAGTTGTATCCCCCAGCACTTGACATGGGAAAACCATGTGGAATATTTGCGATGACTCTTAGGGTTGCTCTGATGCTAGGCTGAAAGCACTCAAGTCAAGAAAACAAACACCAGGCTGTAACTTACTCAGACACAAATGCAACCAGCTATCTCAAACGATAAGACTGTGTACTCGTGCATGCTTAGTTATGTCCAACTCTTTGTGACCCCATGGACTGTAGCCCGCCAGGCTCCTCTGTCCATGGGATTCTCCAGGCAGGAATACTGGAGTGGATTGCCATTTCCTCCTTAGGGTATCTTCCCAACCCAGGGATAGAACCCACGTCTCCTGCATCTTCTGCATTGGCAGGCAGATTCTTTACTGCTGAGCCACTGGGGAAGCTTCCCAAGATTGTGTGAGAAGAAAATTTTTTAGAAGAAAATGAGCTGCAGAAGAAAATGAGGAGTTCCTCCGTCCCACGCAGTTTAACCTCAAATCTGTCTAATTTATATATTTTTGAAAAGGGGGTCATAATGATTAATAAGATCACTTACTGAAAAATGAAAAGTTCGTTCATTTTTAAAAGGAGAGAAATAAAACATGGTCATATCCCAGGGTCCACCACCCAGTGGACAGATCTGATGGGCATTTATGAACAAAGGAGGTGGAGTGGAGGCACAGGACTTAAATTCTAATGTAACATAGAAAAACAAACTTAAATAGAGTGAACACAGAGCAGTGTGAGTTACTATTTATAAGTTGGGAGGTAACTAAACCATGAGCTTGTATTACCATGGAAAAAAGTAAATACCCTTTTGAAAAGCATATATCTCCATACCCCACATGAACACCAAATCGAAACCCAAATGAACCAAGGATTTAAAACAGAAGAACGTTCTAGAAGAAAACCCTGGAGCACTCTTCCATAACATAGCTCCTTCACAACTCTGGAATGGGGAAGGGTTTTGATTTAAAATCCAAAGGCATAAAAGAAAAGATAAAAAATCTCCTACATGGCAAAAACCAACAAATCATCATCAGTTCAGTTCAGTTCAGTCATTCAGTCATGTCCAACTTTTTGTGACCCCATGGATTGTAGCATGCCAGGCTTCCCTGTTAATCACCAACTCCCGGAGCTTGCTCAAACTCATGTCTATCAAATCAGTGATGGCATCCAGCCATCTCATCATCTGTCATCCCCTTCTTCTCCTGCCTTCAATCTTTCCCAGCATCAGGATCTTTTCTAATAAGTCAGCTCTTCTCATCAGGTGGCCAAAGTATTGGAGTTTCAGCTTCAGCATCAGTCCTTTCAATGAATATTCAGGACTGATTTCCTTTAGGATGGACTGGTTTGATCTTCTTACAATCCAAGGAACTCTCAAGAGTATTCTCCAACACCACAGTTCAAAAGCATCAATTCTTCGATGCTCAGCCTTCTTTATGGTCCAACTCTCACATCCATATGTGACTACTGGAAAAACCATAGCTTTGACTAGATGGACCTTTGTTGGCAAAGTAATGTCTCTGCTTTTTAGTATGCTGTCTAGGTTGGTCATAGCTTTTCTTCCAAGGAGCAAGTGCCTTTTAATTTCATGGCTGCAGTCACCATCTGCAATGATTCTGGAGCCCAAAAAAAGTCTCTGTTTCCATTGTTTCCCCATCTATTTGCCATGAAGTGATGGGACCAGATGCCAGGATCTTAGTTTTCTAAATGTTGAGTTTTAAGCCTACTTTTTCACTCTCCTCTTTCACTTTCAACAAAAGTCTCTTTAGTTCTTTGCTTTCTGCCATAAGGGTGGTGTCATCTGCACATATGAGGTTATTGATATTTCTCCCGGCAATCTTGATTCCAGCTTGTGCTTCCTCCAGCCCAGCGTTTCTCATGATGTACTCTGCATATAAATTAAATAAGCAGGGTGACAATATACAGCCTTGATGTACTCTTTTCCCAATTTGGAACCAGCCTGTTGTTCCATGTCCAGTTCTAACTGTTGCTTCTTGACCAGAATACAGATTTCTCAGGAGGCAGGTCAGGTGGCCTAGTATTCCCATCTCTTTAAGTTTTCCACAGTTTGTTGTGGTCCACACAGTCAAAGGCTTTGTCATAGTCAATAAAGCAGAAGTAGAAGTTTTTCTGAAACTCTCTTGCTTTCTCTATTACGCAACAGATGTTGGCAATTTGATGTCTGGTTCCTCTGCCTTTTCTAAATCCAGCTTATACATCTGGAAGTTCATGGTTCATGTAATATTGAAGCCTAGCTTGGAGAATTTTGAGCATTACTTTGCTAGCATGTGATGAGTGCAATTGTGTGGTAGTTTGAACATTTTTTGGCATTGCTTCTCTTTGGGATTGGAATGAAAACTGACCTTTTCCAGTCCTGTGGCCACTGCTGAGTTTTGACAATCACCAGATGGCAATACCAAAATCAGATTGATTATATTCTTTGCAGCTGAAGATGGAGAAGCTCTATACAGTCAGCAAAAACAAGACCGAGGCTGACTGGCTCAGATCATGAACTCCTTATTGCAAAATTCAGACTTAAATTGAAGAAAGCAGGGAAAACCACTAGACCATTCAGGTATGACCTAAATCAAATCCCTTACGATTATACAGTGGAAGGGACAAATAGATTCAAGGGATTAGATCTTATAGACAGAATGCCTTAAGAACTATGGACAGAGGTTTGTGACACTGTACAGGAGGCAGTGATCAAGACCATCCCCAAGAAAAAGAAATGCAAAAAGACAAAATGGTTGTCTGAGAAGGCCTTACAATTAGCTGAGAAAAGAAGAGAAGCAAAAGGCAAAGAAGAAAAGGAAAGATATAAGCATCTGAATGCAGAGTTCCAAAGAATAGCAAGGAGAGATAAGAAAGCCTTCCTCAGTGATCAATGCAAATAGAGGAAAACAATAGAATGGGAAAGACTAGAGATCTCTTCAAGAAAAGTAAGAGATACCAAGAGAACATTTCATGCAAGGATGGGCACCATAAAGAACAGAAATGGTATGGACCTAACAGAAGCAGAAGATATTAAGAAGAGGTGGCAAGAATACACAGAGGCACTATATAAAAAAGATCTTCATGACCCAGATAACCACAATGGTGTGATCACTCACCTAGAGCCAGACATCCTGGAATGCAAAGTCAAGTGGGCCTTAGGAAGCATCACTATGAACAAAGCTAATGGAGGTGATGGAATTCCAGTTGAGCTATTTCAAATCCTAAAAGATGATGCTGTGAAAGTGCTGCACTCAATATGCCAGGAAATTTGGAAAACAAACCATCATAAACAAAGACAAACAGCCAGCTGGGGAAAATATTTGCATCTCGAATCATCTCTCTAACTCACAAAAAGCTCCAAAATGTGATTTCTAAACACTGAGTAAGAAAAAAATGAGCAAAGGATTCGAAAAGACTAGTCACAGGAAAAGGAACATAAATAGGATTCTTAAGCATATTCAGCCTCATTCACAACAAATGCACATTAAAACTAGTTCAGATGCTGCTTCTCACCTATTAGGATCAGCAAAAATCCAAAGGTCTGACAACACGTTCTGTGGGCCGAACTGTGATGATGAGAAAAGCCAGCACTGCTTCCATGGGGTGCAAATTGGCAGTTTCCACCCAGATCACAAAGCAGGCGCCCTTTGACCTGGAGACTTATGTGGATGAACCCAGTTATGCACGTGCACATTAAAATTTACAGCACTGTTATAACTGCAAAACACTGACACCCCCCATGTTCATCCTCATGGGGCGACCCTGTGCCCCAGTCCACCTGGGACAGTTCATAGCTTTGCTCCAGTATAATTACTAACAGACACCACACTCTCACTCTTGAAAGGGTCCTGGTTTGTATGACAGATAATCTGGCCACACACACCCTTCCCAGGGGAGTGGATACATAATTTATGCTGCACCCACTCAGTGGAGCACCAGGCTGCAGGAACAAGAAGTGAGAATGCTGTCTTTGTATTGACAGGAAAATGTCTCCATGATGCATCACTAAGGGGAAAGACAACAGACAAAGCAAAATGGAAGGACAAGATGCAGATGTGCACAGCCTGCCACCTTCCAGGTTAAAGAAGTGAGACCCCATGATGCTCACAGTTGCTTGTATAAGACGCTCTGGAGACAGAAACATATACAAGATAACTGGTGACACGGTTGCCAGTGAGCTTGTGTGAGGGGAGGGGAGGAGAGGGATGACTAAGTGGACAAGGGACTTTTCACTGTATCTCTCTTCGTAATTGTTAAATTTTTGAGCCAAGTAAAAGTAAGGTTTTGAATTTATTCAAGAAATTAAACTTTAAGATGTAAAAGTATATACATTGTCACAGAACTTTCTAGGTGCCTTCACAATGTTGATTCTTCCCTTTCTTAGTTTTCAGCGAGCTCCACTGGTGTTCACCTAAAAAGACTACATTTCCTGGTCTCCGCTGAAGCTAGGTGGGCTTCCCTGGTGGCTGAGACAGTGAAGAATCTGCCTGCAATGCAGGAGACCCCAGCCGGAAGAGTTCAGGAAAGGTCGAGAGGAGACACCGCCTGTCCATTCACTTCCCAGAATCCCTCTTGCTAGCATCCATCTTGGCTGAGTGATGCGTGCGCCACCAGGAAAGACTCTGAATTAGAATGACTGGCCAAAGACCACCCGAAGACTAATCCCATCACCATAAAACCCAAGACTGCGAGCCACGCGGCAGAGCAGTTCTCCTGGGTTCCCTTACCTACTGCTCTCCACCCGGGTGCCCTTTCCCAATAAAATCTCTTGCTTTGTCAGCACATGTGTCTCCTCGGACGATTCATTTCCGAGTGTTAGACAAGAGCCCAGTTTTGGGCCCTGGAAGGGGTCTCCCTTCCTGCAAAAGTCGGGGAAGATCCCCTGGAGAAGGAAGTGGCAACCTACCCCAGTATGCTTGCCTGGAGAATCCCATGGACAGAGGAGCTACAGTCCATGGGGTCACAAAGAGTTGGACATGATTGAGCAACTAACTTTCACTTTCATTGAAGCTAGGTACAGCCATGTGACTAAATTCTGCTCAATGAAATAAAAGTGAACGTGTTAAATAGATCTTCTAGGAAGATTTAAAAAGGACAGGGCACTCTTCCTCTATGCTGCCACCTGGTATGCAGTTGCAATGACTGGAACTCTGGCAGCCATCTTAGTTCATGAAGACAAACTGCACTCCCTTGGGAAATGTCAGAGTGGAAAGGGGTCTGGATCCCTGAGGATTTGAGGGCTCTAACATACCATTCTTGGGTTTTCTACCTCTGGACTTCTCTTTTTGGTGAGAAATAAGTTTCTTATCTAAGACAGTATTGCTGGAGTCTCTATTCCTTGAAGTTTAGCCCAATCCTAAGTGATCTGATAAAATACTGAATGGAGGTTAATTCTGGTAACCCATTTTTGGTGTGATGCCAAGAACTTTTTTTGTCTTTGTACTTTTGGTATTTGGACAGAACTTGTATTTTAGTAACAACTGTCACTTTAGAACAATGACATTTACAACTAATCACAGGAAATGCATCTTCTGGCTTCTGGTTTCATGGTCAGAGAGTTTCATTTTGAAAGGAGGCAAGGCTGCTGCTGAGGTGCCATCTCCCACATCACTCACAGTGGCCCCTCCCAGCAGCAGAGACCCCACAGCATCTCTGCTCTCCCAAGGCAGGCTTAGGGAAGAGGACCGTTGCTTTAAACTGTAAACAAATCAGAGAAGATGCCTGGGGCCAGGTCTGGTCCGGATCTGCCAAATCCCCAGGCTCCACGTGTCTGCTCTCAGCTGGGAGACAGGTTTCCATTGTCTGAGGCTGGGGAAGAATCCTCCATGGCCTGGGGACACGGACAAGGAGATGCTGTGGGTTCTGGCTGACTCAACCTGGAGGATGCAAAGGCCAGCAAATGTTCTTGGAATCCAGCCGGGCTTCCCACCCCACCCTGTGCAAACAGCTCCAGAGCTGAACCTGTCCAGAAATGAATCAAAAGGGGCTCCAAGGAGGCTGGTTACCATTGTGCTCCATGGTTTTGTCTTCCGAGATACTTGAAGTTACACAATTTGTGACTCACCTTTCTGGCCAGTTTTGTACTTCTCCAGCTAGACTCATGCCCCGAGGGTCAGGCATGCCTATGGGTTCTCCACGCCAGGGGATGTAGCTCTATGAGGAGGTGATGAATCTCACCAATGTTCTGATACTACTCAAACATATTTTAGGGGAAAAGTCAATATTTTTATACGACCTGTTAGAAAGGGAATGTAGAATTCTCAACATTTTAAAAACTTCAAATACAAAATTTAGGCCCTCAAAATAAAAGAATTCTAAAAAGTCACAGTGCACAGCTTCAAGCCTCTCCTGAGACCCTGAGGGGCCGTTTGGGTGTGCTGGTCTATAGGGGGTAAGGTCTAAAACCCTGGCTTCCGGGACTGCAAGCTCAGACTGAAAACGTCCCTGGCCCCGTACACATCTGATCTTGTTGGCTCTGCCCTGGGAAGCCACGCACTCAGTGGCAGGAGGAACAGAGGCACTGGGGAAGGTGCCCACGGCTGGCCGAGGCCCCGCGGCCAGTGTCCCCAGGCCTTCAATGCAGCACAGAGCCACTGACCACAGGCACAGCCACAAGTACCAATGGGGCACGGGCTGTGGGTCAGGCCCCGCCAGGCAGCTCATGCCTCAGACCCAACTCAGTATGCCTGGGCCAAGCTTCATCCATAGAGGGGTCCAGGCCCATAAATCAGGAACCTCCCCGCTGGACCCCAAACCATGGAAAGGGTCAATTAGCCACGGCTGTGACACTGGCCATCCACCAAATGTCCATGTGCCCGTGTGTGCACGCACACACATGTACACAGGCTGAACAGCTAGGACAATCGAGGGTCATTACACGGGGACCCTGGTGTCTTCTGGGTACAGTTGCCTGGCACCTGACTGCCCAGAGGAAGTGGGTGGTGGCTGCCATCCTGGCTCAGGGTCTGTTCCACTTACATCAGAGGCTGTGCTATTCTGGGAAGAGGGAGGTCCCCAGGAGGGAAAGGCCAGAACCTGCCGGGGTGGGAAGTCAGGAGGGGGCTTCCCTGGAAGGAGGAAGAAGTGATGAGGCTCCTCCTGTGTCCTCTCTCCTCTCCTGTGGGCTGGGCTGGTCCCCAGACATCCGTGAACAGTGGCCTCCGAGCGGCGCCTGAAGACCACATATCACCTGATGAATCGCTCGCATGGCATCTTGGTGTCAGAACACTGCAGCAGCCCCTGTCCATTTATGTTCACCTTGCTCCCACGATCTTGGTATGACCCCCTCCTGCTTGCTCCCCATCCCTGGCGGGCCCGTCTGTGCAGCCTACAGCATCCTGTGTGGCCCTGGAGGGCGGGCTCCACAAGGGGGCCATGCAGGGAAAGAGGCTGAGGGGCATTAGGGCCCAGACCTCTCCAGTGACTCACGGCAGCTGCAGTGGAGACCATGCCCAGCGAGGAACAGGGGCCTGGAGGTGCCGGTTTGCAATGGACTGAATGGAAGTCTGGCATTTTGAGAAAACAGTAACAATAAATGTTGCTGGGACAAACTCACAATCAGACAGAAACAAAATATATTTATTAGAAATATTACAGAGTCATACATCACACTCGGTCATGTCCACATTTTCACATGTATCTGTCCAGTCTGGACCATGCTCGGCACTTTGCACTCCTGGCAGAAACGAGGCCGCATTCATCCACTGCACTCAGCTTGTGCGGTTACAGTCAGAGAGCTGCTCAGGGCAGCGTGGGCCCAGCCAAACTTTAACTTGGCCAGAAAAGTGGAACCTGCCACAAAGCTGGGGCCACGATATTAAATATCCTTTATAAAAGGGCTTCTGAGTTCTGTCCATTGCTGCATGTCACTATCACTTCCTCTCAAATGGCCCTCGGGCTCTGGGCTGGGGACGACTGGAGCTGGATGTGCAAAGGAGCTTGTATCTGATGATCGAGTCCTCCATCCCAGGCAGGGCACAGAGAGGGGCCTGTCCCCTTGGTGGGGACAGCAGGGGGCTGGGAAAGCAGCCCACCATTCTGGGGCTGAGACCCACGGACACCGTGAAATGAGGTGTGGGTCCCCTGGGGTCCTTGGGTGGTCTCAACAAAAGCTATAGATCAACAGCTGAGTGAAGAGTGAAAACCAAAGACCACTGTCCTTTCTGAAGCAAGGAGGGACGGTCCAGGAGAGGTATAGCTTCCCCCCCGCTCCCCAGATGGCCAGCCCCATGGGCAGGGGCCATGGCGCCACCATCACCAGGAAACAACTCAGCACACAAAGAGCCAAGGGCTTCTCCGTGTGTCTTAAAACGACTCCGCCCCTCTTGGGGATCTTACATTTTGTGTCTCTCTTGCATATAAAAATAATGCATTTATTTTGGGAAAAGGATCTGCAGAACCATCAAATAATTTTAAATGACGAGGTGCTGGGTGGAGGAAGATGGGAAGAAACACAGATACAGTGGCCTGTGAAAACATCAGGACAGGGAACTGGGGAGGGTGGGGTGCGCTCATGGTAACTACCACGTGTTCTCAACTTTAAAAACTTTCCACACTCACCATGTGCTCTGAGCTCCTCAATTAAAATTGGACTGAGGTGACCCCCCCGCCCCTTCAGTACTGAAGACCTGACCCCACACCAGGATGCCCAGGACCAGACCTGCCCTACACCGCCTGGTCCCTCGGGCAGGACACAGGTATGCTGTGCTCTAGCATGCCCGCTGGGCAGCAAGGGGAACTGGGAAACCTCTCCAAGTTATAAAAATAAACTGCACGTGGCCCCCTCTCTTCTTTTTAACCTGAAGTGAGCCCCCCATTGACAGACTGCCACAGGAGCCGACCCCAGACCCTCTCAGGCACCACAGGGCACCAGGAGCGGCACCAGGCATCAGCAACCCCTCCCACAGAGCCTGCAGTGAACCCAAAGTAAACACAGCCACCAACGGCTCAACCCCTCTCGGGTGTGACGTCCCCTTGTGGGTTGAGCAAGGCAGCAGCAGGGGGGCGAGGAGGAGGGAGACACCCAGGAGGAGACACCAGGTAACTTCCAGCAGACTGTCCAGGAAGGTGCCTCCACCTTCCACATGAGACACCCCACATGGTCACCGTCACTGGACTCCCCTTCCAGCACTTCTTGGGGACTTTGAAAATACACACAACATGATGCTGGTGGCCTTCCTGACATTCTGACCCCAGGCCGGGGCAGGTGAGGTGTGTGCTGTCAGGGAGTCCCCAGATGAGAGCCCCAGTGGGCCACCTCTGCAGCCTGAGGAGGACGGACGGACCCTGTGGGTGCCCAGTGTCTCCTCCAAGGCAACTGGGCGGGGGGCTGAGCTCACACCTCCCAGGACAGGGACCAACAGGCACCGCTGTGCACAAGGGCCCGCCTGCCCCTCAGGCTCGCAGGGTGTACTGGGCAGGGTGGGCAGCCCTGGGCTCAGGGAGTGTCAATGGACCTGGGTCAGAGGGCACTGATGTCAGCAGCTGTGGAAGCCCCCTGGGCCAGGGGGGACCTCATTTGCCATGAAATGTGCATGTATTTGCCCAGGTGATGACCTGCACCCATGCCTGCATGACCTAGGGGAGGGGCTGCTCTGGGAGACGGGTGTGTGCTCTGGGGGAGGGCTGTTCTGGGGGGTGCTCTGCAGCCACATGGGGCGACTGCACGTGCTGGGGAAGCCGATGCCCTTCATCCAGTCGTACCCGAGCCCTCCCTGCCTCGCTCAGGTCTTCTGTCCATGCAAATTTAAGAGGCCCAGGGAAGGACTATGCCAAAGCCAGAGCTGAGATGCTGTCTGCCCAGCACCCCAAAAAGACACGTCTTCAGCCTGCTTGTGCAAAAGCAGGAGGACCCTGGCCGACACAGGCCCATCCCTTCTGTCTGAGGGACTCTGTCAAGTTCTGCGTGTACAAGCATGTGGGTGTGGACAGGCGTGAATATGTGCAGGACACAAGGATCAGGTGAGGTCACAGAGGCTTTCTGTACACTGCCAAGCATCAGTCCTGGTGTGACTGCGCCCCAGACACACCCGCTCCTGTCCCTCCCAGGGGCACCGAGCACACAGCCGGGGGGCTCCTCTCATCTCAGACGTTTGGTCTCCCACCCAGAGAATGAAGGAAGGGACAGGAGACCTAACGGTGCTGAAATCCTCTCCGGGAACCAAGTCTGTCCCCAGAAGGCAGGGCTCACGTGACTCAGAGCTGCTCGAGAGCAGACTTTGTCCTTTTGTGTCCTGCTGGGTGTTTCTGGAGGGGCTGGACTGGCAAGTGCAGAGTTTTTAGAAGGCAGAAGCCAGGATTCTTAGGAGAAAGAGGATGGGTTTAGATGTTTGTCATGAGATTCAGGGCAGCTCCAGTGAACACATCACGGGGCTCCCGCAGGAGAAGGGGGCCCCTGCGAGCATGACCCCTGACTTACAGTCCGTATGTGTCAGGGTTCAGGGTGGGTGCAGTGGACCCAGCTGTTTCTTGTTTGTGTGTCGGACTCGGGTGGAACCTGCCTTGGAAATCCAGACAGTGGGCAGCCAACAACACAGACCAGGTGCATCCAGGACACGCAGTTGGTGTGGGACACACAGGACCTATGTCTCGAAGTACTTGTAGATCTGGGCCACATACTGCATCACGCTCTGCCAGTCAGGCCGGTCCGTGTGCAGCAACTCACCGAGCTCCTATGGGAGAGGGCAGAGGTCAGCGGGTGCCACCGGACCTTCCCACCTGGCCGGCAAGTGCAGACAACACCCAGCCAGTGCTAAAGGTGCTCAGTGGGAAAAAGAAAATCTTTTCCTTCCCGCTTATTCAGGAGATGCTGTGCTTTTAGGAACATTAGACACGATCTCCTGCTCCTCTCATATTTTAACAATGAGCATTAAAAAAAACGTTCTGAAAAAAGAAAAGTTCTGAACAAAAACTAAGAGTTGTCACATGATCCAGCAACCCCACTTCTGGGTACATATCTGGATAAAACTCTAATTCAAAAATACACATCACCCCAATGGTCTAGGCAGCACTAATCACAGTAGCCAAGATGAGGAAACAACCTCAACGTCCATCGACAAAGGAATGGATGAAGAGGATGTGTTACAGACACACAATGGAGGATTACTCAGCCACTAAAAAGAATGAAATAATGCCATTTGCAGCAACAGGGATGCAACTAGAGATTATTACACTAAATCAGACAGAGAAAGGCAAATAGCATATGATATCACTTATACATGGAATCTAAAAAATGACACAACCAAACTTATCTATGAAGCAGACTCACAGACATAGAGAAGACTTGTGGTTGCCAAGGGGTAGGGGAGGAGAGGACTGGGAGTTTGGGATTAACAGATGTAAACTATTACATACAGGATGGATAAACAACAAGGTCCTATTGTGCAGCACAGGGAACTATATTCAGTATCCTGGGATAAACAAAAATGGGAAAGAACTTGGAAAAGAATGTGTATGTGTATAACTGAATCACTTTGTCATACAGGAGAAACTAAAAGGACATTGTAAATCGGCTCTACTTCAATCAATAAAACAAAAGTTTTGAAAAGAGTCACTATGATTCCATTGTTGTGAAAGGATTCCCACTTCTCCCAGTTACATTTGAACGCACACCCATGTCCTCCCACGTTGTCACTGCGTACCCTGTGCTTTGTTACCGAACATGCTTCATACACGATTTCCCACACAGCTGTGATGCGCTGCATCATTTAGGGGATACACACTGTCCAGGAGAACAGCTGTCCCATCCTAATAGCACAGTGTGTGACTGTGGTCACTTCTTCTTTGCAGTGAGCATCTGTGTGGTACTGTTTCTCCTATTTGTGCCACAAAAGCTCTGCACTGGCTGAAAGCTATTTGACCAGTGGGTCACCAGTGGTAAAAGGGTCACCAGCCCACGTTTTATTGTTTTCCTTCATTTCATCGGCCACAAGCAAGCACGGGCAGGGGCCAGGGACTGACGGCGGCAGGATGGTGCTCCATCCACTGCTTAGCCAGGCTTTCCTGAAATTCATGTCACCACACTACTCAACAATTCACCTTGGGGCTGACTGCGGATTCTTCTGTGTTCATGAGAGAATAGTAGGGAAGGTCCTGGCATGAAGTTGGAAGCAGAGACACAGTGGAAAAGCAAGCTGAGCTCAGAACATCTGTTCCTGGGCGGGGACAGAACTGGCTGAGGCCTGGAACCAGCCTTTAGCTTGTTTCAGCATCTAAATATATTTTACTGATTTTTCTCCCTGGTGAGGCTGAGAAATCAGCGTATCATCGGTCTGAGGGAAGGGTGGAAAAGGAGCATGTGGAACACCCCACACAGGAACCTACAGCAATGTGAAAAGAGAAACAATGCATTCACAGAAGACAAGAAGGAAAAGCCTCCTTCTGTCTGTGTGCACAGACATATGCACAAAGAGCTGAAACTCTTATAACACGAGGGTTGCTAACATGACGACACAGAGAGAAGCGATGAGGAATCGCGCTCTCAGGAAGCACAGGGATGAGAACACAGGGATGGCGTGAGAGGCCAGAGGAATGCAAACCCCCTCTGGGGGAAGGACACGTCCTCCTGCTCAGAGAGGACTCTGAAGTCTGATCAACATTCACAGTTTTACTCAGACTGTCCTACAGGCTTAAACCCGACAATAATTAAATTTTAAACTATGTCAGTGCATTGTCAACATCACGTTTGAACTTGTTTGAAGAAATCAGTTAACACCTTTCAGGAGAACACAGGGTATGTTGGGGATCAATAAAAAATCCAATAGTGTGAGACACTTGATTCAGTAGCTAAAAACCTTCCAAAAAAAGAAAACACCAGACCCAGATGGTTTCACTGGTTAATTCTAACAAACAGTCCAGGAAGAAATAATACCAGTTCTAAGCAATCTCTTCCAGGAAACAGAAGAGGAGGGAACACTTCCTCATTCATTCTGTGAAGCTGGAACTACCCTGATACCAAAAGCAGGACAAAGATATTACAAGAATACCAATTTCTCACTAAAATGTAAAGTGATCCTTAATAAATAGCAAATTGAATCATGATCAAGTGGGTTCATCTCAGGAATGCAAGGCTGGCTCAACAGCCATCAATCAATCAAATTTATTCATAGTTGTTGTTTAGTTGCTAAGTTGTGTCCGACTCTTTTTGACCCTATAGACTGTAGCCTGTCAGGCTCCTCTGTCCATGGGATTTCCCAGGCAAGAACACTGGAGTGGGTCACCATACCCTCCCCTCCAGGAGATCTTCCCACATCAGGATTGAACCCTCATCTCTTATGTCTCCTGCACTGGCATGCAGATCCTTTACCACCAGGTAAATAAACCATGTTATGTGTATTTCACTATAATAAAAATAATTGGAAAAAAAAAAAAAGATAGGGCTTCTTGCCCTCAGGAGTCCAGGCAAGAATACTGGAGTGGGTTGCCATGTCTTCCTCCAGGGGATCTGCCCAACCCAGGGATCAAACTCAGGTCTCCCACGTTGCAGATAGATCCTTCACTGTTTGAGCCACCAGAGATGGCCAGAGATAAGCCTTATAATCAGATAAATTATAGTATAACACATATGCACTTGATAGACTATGAGTAAATTGTGCTTTAAGAGCCCAGGTGGGCATGGCTGCCCAGATGCAGGGTCATGGAGGGGTGAGATGTGGGCTCTGGAGTCAGATAGCCTCCTCGACACTTGTGTTAGCTACTCACAAGTGACGTGCCCTTCCACGAAATTGCAGTGTCCCTCATGTAAGGAGCATCTATGTCACAGGGCTTCTGAGAGGGACCATGAGTCAACTCACAGAAAGTGCCTGGCACAGAGTAGCCCTTATAAAGTTTATGCAACAGCGCAGGCTCAGCCTCACCTAAGGAATCATTCTAACCTCCTTATAAAACCCTGAGTTGTGAAGACCACCCTTCCGAGATGACCTGAAGACCTTAGTCTGTGTGAGGAGTGACCATTCTGGGGGACACACAGGCTCAGGAAGCAAGTAACACCTTCACAGACCACACGACCTGGTATGGGCATGTCTGCCTCACCAGTGCAAACACATTCACGCTTGGAGGGCACTCATTCTGGATGCTCTGACAGGCAGCGGCAACAAGGCCACTCCTCTTCTCTCTCCACCCTTCCTGTGATTGATGCAGTGGGTGAAACTTCTGTCTCACACTGTGGCAAGGAAGAAATGCATTCTCAACTCGGGGGAACATTGTGGCGTTTTCATTTGGAAAAACTCTCATCCTTGTTAATCCGCTAAATGCAGAAGCCTATATTTGCTAGAATATAAACATATAAGGGAATTTTTTTCCTGACTAATCTAATAATAGAACTTGACCAAAGACTTGGGATTGTTACTGCTGCCAATTCTGGTTAGGTGCAGTTTTAAAATGTCACATGTAATTAAATATATTATTTTTCACTTCATCTCATGATACAAAAGTAAACTTAATAATGTAGGAAGCTTCTATTTTCTTGTTGGCATGAATTGGTTAAACTGTTCACAAACATTCCTAAATGTTTCTGAGATCCACAATGATGTTTGTCAGTAGCTCCTCAGAGACTTCTGTACAAATAAAACCGCTGGCTCTGATGATTAGCTCAACAAGATGATCTCATTTGCTTCCCAGCATTCACTAACTTCAATAGTACATGAGATGAAAAAATAGGAAAAAAAATTAATTAAAAAAAGCAAATATTAACAGTGGCTCTAGTGGTAAAGAACCTGCCTGCCCATGTAGGTGACACAGGAGATGGGGGTTCAATCCCTGGGTTGGGAAGATCTCTGGAAAAGGGCATGGCAACCCAGTTCAGTATTCTTGCCTGGGAAATCCCATGGACACAGGAGCTTGGCGGTGTACAGTCTACAGGGTCACAAAGAGTCAGACATGACTGAAGTGACTTAGCATGCAAGCATACAAAGAAAACCATATTCTGTGTAGAATATCATCTTCCAACAAGTTCTCATTATATTCAGTATCTTTCCTTAAGCAAATGACCTGTGGTTACTTGCTAGCTGCTTTCGATTTATGCTGCTGGAGAAGACTCTTGAGAGTCCCTTGGACAGCAAAGAGATTAAACCAGTCAGTCCAAAAAGAAATCAACCCTGAATATTCACTGGAAGGACTAATGCTGAAGTTGAAGCTCCAATACTTTGGCCACCTGATGCAAAGAGCTGAGTCACTGGAAAAGACCCTGATGCTGGGAAAGATTGAGGGCAAAAGGAGAAGGGGATGACAGAGGATGAAATGGTTGCAATGGATCACTGACTCAGTGGACATGAATCTGAGCAAACTCTGGGAGACTGTGAAGGATAAAGGGGCCTGGCGTGCTGCTGACTCAGTGGACATGAATCTGAGCAAACTCTGGGAGACTGTGAAGGATAAAGGGGCCTGGCGTGCTGCAGTCCATGGGGTTGAAAAGAGTCCGACACAGTCCGACTTAGCGACTGAACAACGACAACTCCTTAGCTGTTTAGTACTTCAGAAGATAAATCGGGTTCCTGCTACTCCATCCTCACCAAACATTAAGTCCCCCCACTTCTTTTTAAATTCTCTAGACCTGAGTTTACACAATAGGGACATCTGTTTCTCAAAGGTTCAGTGGAATTTGGGTGGACTGGTATTTTTTTTGTTTATGTGTGTGTGTGACTATATTTAAACCAATGAACTTCACTTCTTTAATGGCTAAAGTTCTAGTTCTTTCTCTGTGAGTTTTGGAGAAATAGTTACATTTACTATTTGAAGAAATATATTTATGTATCTATTTTAAAAACTGTCCATTCTGTCAAACATGTTAGGGTAACACTGTTATAACTATAGTATTAAAATTCCTACAATAGTTGTCTTTTCCCTTTTTCCCCCCCCAAATTTTATTTATTTTTTATTTTGGGCTGTGCTGGGTCTTCATTGTCACGAGGGCTCTTCTCTAGTGGTGAGCAAGTGCTCCTTTTCATTGCCACACGCAGGCTTCTCATTGCAGTGGCCTCTCTTGCTCCGGAGTACGGGCTCTAGGGCGTGCAGGCTTCAGTAGCTGAGATTACTGTGGCACATGGGCTTAGCTGCCCCACAGTACTGGTATCTTCCTGGCCTAGGAATCAAGCCCATGTCTCCTGCATTGGCAGGTGGATTCTTTACCGATGAGCCACCAGGGAAGTCCCTGGTCTTTTCCCTTTTCATTTCGCCCTCTGAGGGCTACACAAGTATATCTCTCAGTTACTGCAGCTGAGATTTTCCTAATCACTGAACATGGTTTTAAATGTTTATTGGCCATTTGTGAGTTGCCTATTCCACACTTTGATAGTTTTCTACTAGGTTTCTTTTATTATTGGTTAGTACAAATTATTTGTAGATTATCTCTTTGCTTTTTCTGCAGTTACGTTACAATGTGTCTGGATGGATGTTTTGTATTATTTATCCTGTTTGAGATTCCATTAAGAATCTGTGGTCTTTCGTCATTCTGGAAAGATTTCAGGCGCCAGTTCTTCAAATATTATCTCTCTTCATGTTTTCTTTCCTCTCCTGGAACTCCCACTGGTCATGGGAGTTGGACATGGTCTGATTTTATCTTCCACGCCTCTTAAGCTCTGTGACAGACACTATCAGTTGGTCCCAACCTCTGTTTCCCTTGCAGGCTTCCCACTAAAGAGGATGAGAAACGTTGTATGTTTACCTTCTCAAATCCCTTTGCGGCTGGGGTGGCCACACAACAGAGAACTGTCACAGAGCTGGAGGGCCTCTGGGAAGCCTTTTGGTTTCCTTATCAAAGTGGGGGATGTCAGGCACTCACTGTACCTTCCTCCTCACTTCCGACCCTACAGATGGGAGTGATGTCTGGAGCTTGGCAGCCATGTTCAGCCATAGAGAGACAAATAAGAGGACAAAGAACCAAGAGAGTAAAGACACTGTGTGGGCCTTGATTACAATATTATGCAGTGAACCATTCCTGAAACTACAAAAAAAAAATCTTTATGGTTGAAGCGACCATTAGTTGGGTCTTCCATTTCTTAAAGTTGAAAACCTATTAACTAATAAAACCCCTCTATCACATTTTCATCTTAAAATCTCTGTTATATGTCCTGGGTAATTTCCTGTGATCTATTTTCTGGTTCAACAGTTCTCTTTTCTGCTGTATCCAATCAGTTTTCAATCCAGCTGTGGTTTTTACTTTCAAATTTTAAATTTCTACTTGGCTCTTTTCAAAATCTTTAAAAAAAAATAAAACCATGTTTCTTCCTTATGATTTTTATTCCTTCTCTGATCTCTAATATGTTTAAACATAGTCTTTTGAGGTCTCTTTCTTATTGTTTTATTATCTCAAATTCTGGTAGACGGTCCTCTTGTTCGTGGTGCCTGCTGACTAGATAATTTTCTTTCCTTTGTTTAAATTTTATTGGAGTCTAGTTGATTTACAATGTTATGCTAGTTTCAGATGTACAGCAAAGTGATTCAGTTATACATACACAAATAGTCATTCTTTTTCAGAGTCTTTTCACATAAAGGTTATCACAGAATACTAGGTAGAGTTCCCTGTGCTGTATAGCAGGTCCTATTGTCAAGTAGATAATTTTCCCGACTGTTTTGTAATTTTGAGTTGTGAGTGTATTTTCAGTAGCATCTGTGCTCTGGGCCACAGGGCTTCTGGCAGCAGAGACACTATAAACTGGCCACTGCTTACAGCAGATATTATAAATTTGGACTCCAAACCTCATCTGGCCCAGCTTTTCCTTCCTTCTCTACACGAGATTTTTTTTAAAAATTTTTTTTGGCCACAAAGAAATCCCAGGTGGAGACTGAGCTTCCTTATCACCTCCCTGGACTGGCAGGTGGCAATTTTTATCTCCCCTTCACTAATAAAGATGAGCATTTGGGGAGCCTTGGGTCTGTGCAGCGGTCTCAGGACCGTTGCTCTGGTTACAGGAGCTCAGTGCCAGGTCTCCTGCCCCTGCACGAGCACGAACCACAGCCTGCACACATTGGAGGCCCTTTCCCACCACCTCAGTCCCACCCTGGGATGGCCAGAGTCCAGCACATGCCTCAGGACTCTGGTCTTCACTCCTCTTTTAATTTCTGGCATCTAGTTATTTTCCTTTCCTTCTTCAGAGCTTGGCTATGTATTGATACTTTAAAAACTACATCATATTAATATTTCCAGGGCTTTAATGATAATTCAGTCTAGAACTGAAATCTATCCACAGTGAAATCTTCACTGAAAACACTCTAAATCACATGTAGTCAGACCAACTGGACACTTTTATATCAGGAATCATGAGTAATGGACTTCATTGCTGTGAAGATTATTTAGTAGACGGCATAAAGTTCTTTCTCACGGGATTAGAGTATCACACGGGTACAAAGGGGTACACTCACCAGGCTGGGTTTGATGCCTACACTTTCAGCTGCTTCAAATGCCAATAAGAGATTTCTTTTCTAGGTTAAAAGACAAACAGAATGAAATTATCAGCCAAGAAAATATAGCTTTTTTTAGGAGTAAACACCAACTGACACTCCCATATAGATTACCTACTATTTATAAAACCCAAGTGTTGAAGTCAAGTATGCAGACAGTGGTCTCAGTTTAAGGGGGAAAAAAGAAGATTAATAGATTACCACTGTCACTAAAAAATAACATTATTAATTGATTCCTGACCATCAAAGATACATTTTTGTTAGTTATTTTTTACTTTGTCAATATTTAGGACATATACATTCTGCTGTGTATCAAGTTGTTTAATCATGGTGCTGTATCAAAAATTATCAAAGTAATATGTGCACAGAGTTAAATATAATCACATGAAAGACTTCCTTGCCTCAATCCTGGACCTTGGGAGAATGATTTTTCGTTTTTCTCTTTAATTCCAGGGACTTCTTTCCTTACATCACTGTTTCTTCCTTCCTTCCTTCTAAATATCTATTTATTTGGCTTAGTTGCAGCACTTGGGATCTTTAGTCACAGCATGTGGGATCTAGTTCCCTGACTAGGGATTGAACCCGGGGTCCCCTGCTTTGGGAGCTTGGAATCAGCCACTGGACCACCAGGGAAGTCCCACCACTTTCTTGATTTCTAAAATAGAGGCATGACCTTCTAACTTCCTCCTAAGTTAAATGACTCAGGAATCATGCACCTCTCTCTTCCCTTCATTCTAGTCACACAGCTCATGTCCGCTCCCTTATTAGTTATGTTTGTGACTTTAACCAGTATCCTCAAACCATCATTTCTTGTCCCATCAGTTACAAATGACAGTTCCCAACTTCACTTGGTGTGATGAGTAGGACTTTCCCTTGCCTTTCCTCCACCTGGTCATGTTCTGAACTGTTCAAGCTGATACACTTGGCTTCCTTCTCCTCAACCACACTGAAGTGTCCAGCACCCTCTTAACAGGATGACTCTGAAGGCTGAAAACAACAAGGGGTATTGGCACAGCAGCTGAGATCACATTTCCTCGCCCCAGGTTCCATGGTTGTGATGCTGTGCCACTCAAAACATTCTTTCCAAAGAGTTTTCCTCTTTGTAACAACCAACAGCTCAGAACCATACCACGTTTCAGTATGCTCCAGACCTGGACCTTGCCTTTCTTCAAGTCTGCTTTCAGTTCTGCTTGTTTGGGACTTTTCTTGCTGGGAGAACTGTATCTCCTTCTCTTCTTCTGGTTTCTTATCTTCTTATGGCTCATAATCCATGATATTCTCTTTGTACTAAAGTGACTTTTCAGATTCTGATTTTGATAGGTTTTTACAGGTGGCACTACTGATAAAGAACCTTCCCAACAGTTCAAGATTCGTGGGTTTGATCTCTGGATTGGGAAGATCCCCTGGAAGAGGGCATGGCAACACACTCCAGTATCCTTGCCTGGAGAATCCCATAAACAGAGGAGCCTGGTGGGCTACAGTCTAGAGGGCTGCAGAGAGTTGGACATAACTGAAGTGACTTAACATGCATATAAACAATACAGGACTCTCTTGATGCCCTTTTCGCTGTGTGCTGTTCACCAAAAAACCCAAGAGATACACTGCACTAAGAGCTCTCCAGACCCAGGCTCCAACTGAGGAGGGCTGAACTTCACTCATCCTGAAGGTCAAAGGCATCATTTCATTCAAATTAGCTCCTTCCCTTTGAAAGTCAACTTCAAACTCGTCCCTTCCAGGAACCCTTCCCTGCTTGCAACCCTCTCTCTCCTCCAGCAAGAGCGCCCCCCAGGCTGAGTCTCACACACATGCTCAGCTTTAAACTGTGCTGGTTTGATTTGCCTGTGTTGACACATTGTTCTGAGAACCCTCATCGGTAACTCTGAGATACGAGTTTCTCTCCCCAAACCTCAACACAAGATCTCCCAGTGCAGGGGCCAAACCCAGAGAACGTCCACATGGGGCAGTTAGGAAGCAAAAGGCCAGCGGTCATCGGGGGAGGCTGTGACGCTGCACGATCTGTAATGAAAACTCCACGCCAAGTTGAGGGTTCAAGCCAAGTTGAGGATTATAACCCGGGAACAGCCTCTGAAGAAGCTCCCAGAACTGTTCTGCCTGTAAGAGGTCAAAGCACAGTCGTACAGGATATTGAGACATCGAGAGCTGTGCATCAAGGGATGCACCTGGAGCTAAGTTCTTCACCCCTCACGAACCTGCAGCATCTCACAGCCTGACCTGCCTCCTCCCCAGGACAGCATCCTGGAGCAGGGAGAAGAAAGGCAACCCGAGTGCTGGAACCACGGGTCCCCGGACCTCAAGGACAACAGAGCGACCAAGCTGTGATGCTTGGCTGCTCTGTGCATTTCCAGATCTGGGCAGCTGGCCGTGAATCTTGGGGATCACCGGCCTCCAGGGGACGTGATGCGGTTTCCGTCATCTGGAAGCAATGAGATGATCCGAAGGATGAAAGCAAACACTTTCCATCATTTTCCAACACGTCCACTGACGGGAGAACAAAGCGCCTTGGCTGCAGTCAAACACTTCACACCCTGAGGACCTATCTGCAGCAGGCTTTGACCAACCTCCCCATCAGTAGAAACATTCAATACCTGCTCAACCATGAGGAGCAGCACTCTGCCAGCACCAGCAGACTCTCCTAGAAGACAACCTTCCTTCTTGACCTTCTTCAGGCCCTGATGACCCATGACCTGCTGCTCACTCTATACCAACAGCCCTGGATCATGTAAACCAGCTACATCCCTTGATGCACAGCCCTCTTGTCTTAAAACCTTGTACAACTGTGCTTCGACCTCTATCTAACAGGCAGAACAGTTCTGGGAGCGTCCTCAGAGGCTGTTCCTGGGTTATAAGCCTCAGTTTGGCTTGAATAAAAATTTTCTTTTTCTTCCTTGATCGACTAATGAATTTTTTTTGTCCACAGTGCCCAGGCTTCGTGGATCCTGGGACCCCACAAGCCCCTGCTGGTCTGCTTCGTGGCTGCTCCTTCCGGCACCACTGCTGGGCCACTCTGCCCTGCTCTGGCCACAAGGATGGAGTCCTCAAGGCTTGCTCCTTGTCTTCTCTCGGTGCCTCTGTGAAGTTTGATTTATGATAAGAAACACACCTTTGGTCTTTGTCTTGGTTCCTGTACAGAGCTCCTAAAGCCTTTATAATTTTCTATGTAGTAGGAGTCACGGATGCATCTTTTGTAATAATGTTTGTTTTCTGTCCTTGGTTCTAAAAATGGCTTCAGAGAAATAAAGATGAAACAGGTGTCTTTTTATTCGCTTGTTTATCTGGCTGTGTTGGGTCTCAGTTGCAGCATGAGGGGTCTTCACTGGAGGCATGCCAACTCTGAATTGCGGCATGTGGAATCTGGTTCCCTGACCAGGGATTGAGCCTGGGTCCCCTGCATTGGGGGTGCAGAGTTCTAGCCATTGGACTGTTAGGGAAGTTCCAAAACAGGTGTCTTTTGTTATTCATAACAAACCCCTTCCAACAACACCTGGGTTTATGTTAATGACTCAATTTTTGAAAACCCCTGGTAAGACAGGGTGGGATTAGAGGTTATAACATTCAGCCCCACTCCCTGACCTGCAGGGAGCAGGGGAGAGGCTGGAGGCTGAACCAGTCACCAATGACCAATGATTTAATTAGTCATGTCTGTATAATGAAGCTGCCAGTAAAACCCCAAAGGATGGGGTTCAGTGAAGCATCCATGTGCTGGGAGGGTGGCACACTGCAGACTCCAAGGGGACAGAAGCTCCCGTGCTCGGGACCCCTCCCCCAGACCTCATCCTGTCGACTTCCTCATCTGGCCCGCTGACCTCCCCGTGTCCCTGGCCTCTGCTCCCCTGGGCGTGCCTGTGGCATGCTCCCTGGCTCTGGAAGGCTCCCCAGCTCTCTGCAACACGGGTCCCCTCATGTGGGCTCTTCACTGGAATTCCGCCTCAGAGACGTCCACAACCTTCCTGGTGAAAGTCAGGTCCCCGTGTTCACCCCACGCCCTGTGCTTCTCTCATGCTCTTCCACAGTTTATAGTTATTTACTTACAATGCTACCTGTTACAAGTTTACTCACTTGTTTGCTGACCGTCCACCTCCCAAGGACAAAGGACCTGTCTATACCACCACTGCTGCCTTTGTTACTGGGCATGACAGCTACCAAGAAACATCTGTTGAGTAAATGAGTCCAGGGCCCGGGACAGCATTTCCCGGAGTAACTCTGTGGAGTATGATTTTTAGGATGTTCTAGGGCAGGGTTTGGCAAACCACAGCCCACAGACCAAACTCAGCCCTCAGCCTGTTTTTGTTAATAAAGTTTCATTAGAACATAGCAAGCCTATTAATTGACAAAGATCTATGGCCGCTTGGGTTCTTTGATGGGAGAGCTGAGTAGCTTTGACAAAGACCACAGACCAACAAAGCCTACCACTGACCCCTGACAGGGGAAGTCTGCCAATTCCTGTTATGGATGATTATAATAAATGTTAAAAAGGTTCTGTGGCTCTGACATAAGTTGGCCTAAAATGAGTCACACAGGTTTCTCTAATGAAGAACTTCCTAGAGTATTTACGGCATCAGGAATCTCCAGAAGTGTGCTATGATAAACAGCTTCCCCAGCTTATCTGAGCCAGGGAATTCTGGTTCTTTGGAAAAAATTTTGAAAATGCTGGCCTAAGGTCTTGAAACCATGAAGGTGAGAGTCCATCAGGGCTTCCTCTGAAAAGTGATTGAGAGGAAGTTCTCAGCAGACACAGTCAACTGATCTCTGCTGCGTTTTCCTAGGTAACAAGGGAAGTTGGGGACATTACTGACGGTGGGACCTGCCCTGCCTTGTGATCTGTGCTGGAATCATACCCCAGTTTCCTCTTCAAGGCCATAAACCCCATGCTCCCTGAGATGTATCAACAGTGTGAGAAATTCCCCTGTGTTCTGGAGGGTGACCAGGTTGGGGATGGGGGACTTACTTTCTCCTGGCTGTTCAGCTCCTGGTATGGGATGTGGGCGGGCAGGTAAGTGTGGAGAAGAGCGCAAAAGGCTAAGCCGTCACTCCAGCTGCTGCTGAAATTGGTGATATCGATGTTCTGTGGGGAGAGCGGCATTAATCACCAGACTGCTGAGTCATGACTGAACAGGGCTGTGCAGCCATCTCTGGGTTTGCAGGAAGATGAGACCAGACACTACCCACGTCTGCTGGGAGGACATTCGTTAATAATTTTGCTGTCAGGAATGGTGACCTGGTGTTGCCCATTCACAGAAAAGTACGAGAAAAGACTCTGGAGTGAAAAACAGTAGGGAATTTCTGGCGGCCCGCTGGTAGGTCAAAGGTTCTCAGACACTGTACTCTCAGATTAACCACCTGGTTAGCTTTGTACACCCTAGTACCTCCCAGCCTTATTTGGCCAAAGAAGAATCACCACCACCACCATCACCACCATCACCATCACTACCATCACCACCATCATCACCACCACATCACCGTCTCCATCACCATCATCACCATCACCACCATCTCCTAGGGGTGACCCAAGGACTTCCCCTCAGAGAGCCACCTTAAACTGTGTGTCCTTAAGATCTCAGTCTGATTCACAAGGACAGCCCCTGGGAGGGACAGACAAGTCTGAGAGGCCCAGCTGGAAGGTCTGTCTGTGCTCAGGCTGGCCCCCCAAGAAGGAGATCATCTGGATCTCTTGTCTCAAAAGTTTCTCTAAAGACCCTGTAGCTACCTGCTGGGACTTGGGGGCTGTGCTGGAAATGAAGGCACTTTGATTTTATGCCTTCCGAAGAGGCTTGTGCATGAAAAAAAGCAGAAGGAAGAGCTGGGGTGGGGGGGCACGACCCATCCAGTTCACTCCGTTTCAGCTTTCAAACCAGATGCTGGGCTGGGAGACCCTGGGGAGGGTGGGCAGCTGCAGAGAAACCATGCATCGCAAGAGGGGAGGGTTTCCGGACTTAATGGGTGAGAAGGGAGGATGGTTGGCAAGAGTGTCTACATGGTACCTGTCACTGTGCATTTTCTCATTTAATTCCCAGGACACCCACACCTGTAAGTAAGCAGCGTCATGCCCATTTGACAGGTGAGAAAGCTGAAGTGAAACCAAACCCTGCTGGTCCAGCTCCACCCACTGGCCACTGCCCCCGTCCTCTTGTTGGGTTTCCTTCCTCCTTCTCTTTTCTCCCTCCCTCCCTGACTTCCTTCCTGTATAAATTCACTTTACACCAAAAGCATTTAACACTTGGTAGATCTTTCTTTTTCTGAAACATGAAAACATTTTTTTACACTTCACTTTTGTACCATTTATGACACAAGACATCATTTTTCTCCACCTGCACTATCTTCAGAGGCATTTGAGAGGCCAAAGAGGACCTGGAAGGGTGACAATGCCACCCACCTAACAAACTGAGATGCCGCCCTCTGTTTCAGCTCACTGAACACTGCTTAGGAACAGCTTTTGATCTAAAGTGCAAACGTCCTCATTTATTGAGCCAGGGTGGAGGTATAAAAATCTGGTGCTACCAAAGCCAGGAGTGAAGAATCAATCAGAATGAGTCAGGCCCTCAGGACAGATCAGCAGCCAGGTTACTTCCGGATGGACGGCCACTCTCAGGCCATCAGGCATCATGAGACTCACCTCATGAGGCATCATGCTTCAGCAGCAGGATTTAAACACCGCCCCAGACTAAGGAGGCAGATTTTAAAGGAATTATGTAAATCGTAAATCCAGCTGGCTCACCAGATCCAACATGTGGGTCAGGAAGGGCTTGTCTTTTGTGTCATTTATTTCCCCAGGTTACAGACTTTGTTTTTGTCTTTTAATTTTTTTTAAGAAAATTTATTATTATTATTTTTTTGGCTGTGCTGGGTCTTTGTTGCTGCGCGAGGGCTTTCTCTAGCTGCAGTGCACAACCTTCTTCTTGTGGTAGTTTTCTTGTTGCAGAGCTCAGTAAAGGGCTCTAGCTCAGGCCCTAGAGAGCTTAGTTGCTCTGCAGCATGTGTGATCTTCCCGAACCAGGGATTAAACCTGTGTCCCCTGCACTGGCAGGCGGGTTCGTAACCACTGGACAACCAGGGAAGTTCCCAGGTCTCAGACTCTGAATTGTTCTGTCTCTGGCAGAGATGGAGGGCATCTGGCTATGATGTGTTAAGATTACATTCATTCCAAGAACATGACGTGCTCAAATAAAATCTTACCGTTCACTTCTCTGGGGGAAACAACATAGCTCTAGTTCCCTGAATGCCACCTGAAACCATCCTTGGTTCTATGTGAACAATGAGAGTCTCAACAATCCCCCTCAGCACCACTGACAGAACAACTAAGCATGTGTGCACATCTTGGTCCCTCAGGTCAGAGGTGGGAGTTAGCGGGCAGAGGCACTGGGTTCCAATGGTCGCCCTGTGGCTGTCATCCCCAAGGGCTTCCTTACTGCTCTCCAAGGTATACCTGGGTGAGAGAAAGGTGAGCTGAGGGTGGCACAGCTTGATAAGGCCCGTGTTTTTCACAAAAATCACAGCAAAGGAGGGAGCTGACCGATGCTCTCTGGGGTCTCTCATTTGAATCCTGTTCAACTGTGGACCCATCTGCAGATCGCCATAGCCAAGTACCCTTCGGGTCTCTGGTCAGCGGACGCAGGGGGTGCAAGGGACGTGGAGGGCACATGGGGATGGTCTTGCAGAGTAGGGATGGTGCAAGAGTCTTCCCAGGGGCCCTGCAGAGTGGACTGTGCTGACGGCTCGTAGATGGGGAAGGCAGCAGGTACTCCTGGGCAGGAATGGCTGCTGGATGAGGGCAGAGAGAAGACAGTGTCCTGGGCGGGGTGGCTGAGCCAAGGAACAATGCAAGTCCTAACTCCAGGCCCCACCCCAGGACAGATGAAAAGGCTTCTCCTCAGCTGGGGATGGTCAGCATCAGCTCAGCCTTGGTGTGAGTGAGGCCTGTGTAGCCTGTGGGCATTGATACTCGGTGCTCACAGCTGCACCGACCAAGGACAAGAACATGCCACCCCAGGGGTGTAATACGGTGCCTTCCTTTCCGCAGAGACCATCCCACTGAATCTTAGGGCCACATCAAGAGAATAACGTACAGAGCAGTGGGAATCAGCCAACCAGGCACTCTACAAGATGAATCTTCAACTCTTTCCTTGTTACTTATTCCTGAATAAAACTGCCTGAGATCACTGTTAGCCTTGACTGCAAGTCAGGAGGCGGAAGGGAGCATGTCGGGAGGCTGTGTATCCAGAGCTGGATGCTGGTGACATGGGTGTATGTGCTTCATGAAAATTCACTGAGCTGTACACGTGTACGTGCAGTAAGAGCTATGTCAATAAAGAGGAAAGAAACGAAGGGAGGCTGGGGAGGGAGATGAGCAGGAAGAGGGGTGGGTGAGGGAGGGGGCAGTCAGGGAAGAGGACTGATTAAGAAGGAGAAAGGAAAGATAAACAGGGACCCCTGATCTTCTTAAGGGGCTGAACCATGGCTGTCTGAAAGAATGCCAGCATTTTGGAATTTACGTAAGATTTACTGGGGGAAAAAGCAGAGCTATAACCAAAAGAAACTTGCTGACTATTTCCCCAAGGGGAATGGTAATTACTCATTGCAAATTATCCTCAACTTTCTCTGGGCTATAAATAGTTCAGAGACACTCCCAAGTGAGAGAAAGTTCCAGGGAGAGGAAGGCTCAGATATAAAAAAGGTAACATTCTGAGCATCTCCAAAAAGGAGTGCTTAGGAGAAAATTTTGTAAGATAACAGATTTCTGTCCCTAGGGCCGAAGAAGTCATTTGAGACACACAAAAACCGACAGGCACAGAGGAAGCTAAAACGGCATTGGTGAACATCTGAGAACATGATCAGAGCGGCTGAGATTCTAGACAAGTTCCAAGAGGGCGAGTGGGGATGCATCTCGCAAACAACACAGCTGACAGAGCAGAGCAAAACCCAACAGCCACAGCCTTTGCTTATAGAAGGTTCATTTCATTTGCCTTCTGTTGTCTGGAAAGGCTGACATCTGGTGAAAACATGAACCGCTCTGCAGAGCAGGCACCCACCAAGGACACGGCTGTGTGACCTGTTCCCACTGAAACTCCACCATCCCTCAGGGTCTCTGTAGGCTGTTCCAATGGATTTCAATGAATGGGTCGACTCTGTGTGCATTAAATGCACAAGATTTTTAAAAAGTTAAAAAAAAAAAGAAAAGGAAGTTTCTGGGAAGAAGATGGCAGACCATTTAGAAATCGCCGTCAGTCCCCTGCCTCAGGGACCAGCTGTCCTGGGCACAGGGTGGCTTTAGCACCCTCGCCTTGGAGCTTCCTGGGCCTTTTTCGAAGACGTCTTATTGTCACAGCTGGAGAATCAGACTGAGATTCTTTTTTGGGGGTGTGTGTAACAATTTATAGATCATTGAGGATAAAAGTAGCTCATTCCTCAGCAAGGCGCAGCTTGGGTAGGAAGAGCCCTGGGGAGACAGAGCTTCCTTTGAAGATCTGGTGAGAAAAGTACAGAAGAGCATGTGCACATGCAGGGGTAGGGAGGGGAAATCGCCACAAAGGCAGCCTGCACTCCCTCTCTGAACGTGACCAGCCTCGATCCCTGCCTGGACGCACGTCTGCACCTACCCACGCCTCCCATTCCAGGAGCCGGTCCAATCCCAGGCTACCCAGTGACCCTCAAGTGGCCTGGCCCTGCACATGTGCAGTCCTTGACCATGGACTCACGCAGACGTGCCTGTGGACCACAGGGAACGCTCTCTGTACACCCTTCCTTTCTGAGGCCCCATCTCACTGAAGGTCGCTGTCTCGGGTGCCCACTCCGATCAGTGTCCTCATCTTGGAAGGGCAACTGTGAACCCTCCCCACCTAACACCAGCTCTGCACCATGACAGAAACTGTTCCCCAGCAGAAAGCTGTGATCATGGGATCACCTCGTGAATGTCCCTTCTCTCGAGGATCAGCTGCCTGGAGATAAGTGTATCTGATCAGATGGCTAAATTTATAAGCCAACATCAAACATGAGGATACAGATGAACAGGTTTATCATCCTGGGGAAACAGAGCCATCCAAGGCACAAAACGCAACTAGCATAAAAGAA